AAAAGATTAATGGAGCTTGCATGTCTGTAATCATGAGTATTTTTTGTAATGTTATATGTGCAAAGAAAGTGTTTTACTAAATAATAACTTTTGACCAGAGTAAGCTGTGTACCCAGAATAAAACTAAATATCAACCAGGCCATCAATATAGCAAATCAACTCTACATTTCTTACATATTTCCTTATAAAGATTAAAATGCATTGTTACATCAGTTGGGCACCCTTGCTGCTAATTATATTGGCTGTAAACTCAGTATCTCACAAGGTTCAGCCAGCTCAGGAGAGTTAGGTCCTAATTTCAAAATCTGAGTTATCAGAGACAAATTAATTTTTGTATTAAAAGTATTACCATAAACAACAACTTATAAGAATAAATACTTCTAATATAGTAACTAATATAATCAATTTTGTTAATGAAAGAACAATAATAAACAAAATAGTCTACCTCACCTAAATAACCCACAAACACAAATTTCTTTACAAACCATGTTCACTGATGTATATTTCTTTAGAAACCTGCTCTCTTGCACCATGCATTTCCAAAAAACTTAGTACAGTACCTTCTATATAATGTCAGTAATGATTAATACCCTGTGGCTTTAGTTAAAAGCAGTGGTGTGTAACTACTATTCTACGTCACGAACAAAAACCAATGTTTGTGAAGTTACAAAACAAGAAGTATAAAATAATATCTAATCTTACAATTATAATATAACAATATCAAATGTTATAGTAAGAAAATAACTGGCTAAACTTAGTGTGCAGTTTGCCTAAAACATTTACCAGCAGTCTTAACATATTCTCTTTTGCCCCCACTCATAGGTTCTTAAAATTACTGTTCCCTGTACCAACAGTTAGAGGTGGCTAGAGCAAGTAGTGAATAAAATTCAATCTACTCAAAAATGCAAAGCTCTGCACTGTGTGCCGAAATACATGAGGCACAACATAGTAAAGAAAGTAAACTTAAAAAGTAAATGTTATACTAATTATGTAATTTCTTAGTTAATATTACCTATATGTAATAATAACTAAAACTAATGGTTGGTAATACAAATGTTGGGCAATATATTAAAGCAGTTTACTATTACTCTGAACAACATCCCAAGGAATCAACATAACATATAACATAATGTTTTGGGATGACATAGGACCTATTGGTCCATCTCGGCTGTCCCATCCTCTAAACTGAACTAAAACTATTTTTAAAAAATCTTAAATCCATCCCTTATCATTCATATACTTATAAAGCTTTCTCTTAAACTCACTAAAATTTACTGCCTCCACAATATCTGAAGGCAACCCATTCCAAAGGCTAACCACCCTGTTAGAAAACTAAAACTGTCATATCTGTGTCCTGTAGTCCGACTGTTCTCACTGTTAAATATGGAAAAAGATGATACATCAACACTATCAATTCCCTTTACAATCTTAAACACCTCAATCACATCCCCATCTAACTCTTCTTTTTTCAAGAGAAAATAATTTGAGAGATTTCAACCTCTCCTCGTATGACAACTCCTCCATCCCAGGCACCATTCTAGTAGCTCTCTTCTGAACCTTTCCAACAATTCTATGTCATTCTTAACGTAAGGAGCCCAAGACTGAACACACTATTCCAAATGTGGCCTAACCAGTGACCTACACAATGAAATTATAACCTCTTTAGACTTCTGTTCAATATATCTGTAGATACAATCTAAAATACTATTTGCCCTATCACTAAGAAGAGCACACTGCTTGGATGGCTTAAGAGACTGATCAACTATTACACCAATATCCCTGTTTGAGTCCTACTACACAAAGAAGCTGTCAAATGAGTGGTACCCACTCAACTGGAATTTTACTCGTGTTTGTGTTATCTCCAAAAACATGGGAGTTTGGAGTTCCATCATCGTTCTGTCCAGGCTGTATACTTATCAGTAGATGCCTCGCTTCACCATGGAGTCTTACCTCTCACTTTGGTGTGTTTTTTGCCTCAGTATCATGTCATTTTTCTTTGTTTTGTCTCTAAGGGTTCTGTCTTCCAGTTCTGGGCACTACCATTCTGTATTTCTTCAGCTCTGTATATGTTTTGTCAAGCGGTATGCTTTTTTGCACATCATATTCACTTGCTTTGTCTTCAGACTTACCATTTTATGGACAACTGGCTTCTGTTTGCCTCATCCTGTGCTCAGTCATTCACTCACACCCATGTCCTTCTTTGAGAAGCTGCTTGGGTGGGGGTTTCTCATCAAGTTGGAGATGTCCTTTACTACCACCTCACAGTATCTTAATCATTTAGGGGGTTCTCTCACTTCCCCTCTTGGTTGAGCCCAGCTTTCTCTACTTCAGCCTTAGGAAATGGAGGGGGCAATCACGATAGCCATACCTCCTCATTCTCTCCCTGCACGTGAGGTTCTATCCCTTGGGTCGGCACACCTGCATTACCTTCATTGGATGCTTCTTGACCAGTGGAACTTTCCCCACGATTGCTTGGACCATTCCATCTATCTTCCACCTAGGATCTGGGCCGACCATGCTTAGTGGCTCGGCAGGGACTTGACCACATTGGGGTCCCATTCCTCTGCCTCGTCCTGCATTTCATCTGTTCACTGATACGTCTTTAATGGGCTGGGGGTTTTCCTTGATTTCCCAGAGATTTCAGGTCATTGGTCAGTCGAGGAGGCTACTCTCCATATCCACATCATGGAGCCTTTGGCAGTTCCTCGGGCTTGGTATCATTTCCTTCCATTCCTGTGGGGGTGGTTATGGTTCACTCTTGGAATTACACTGTTGTCAGCTTTATCACAAAGCAAGAGGGAACCAAGTCCAGAACTTTGTCTTTTCAGACTCTGGATTTCCTCTACTAGGCCAGTGACCACAACATGGTAGTACTGGCATGTCATGTTCCCGCAGTTATGAATTTTGTGGCCAATCTCTTATCACGTCCCAACCAGATTCTCCAAAGAGTGGTCTCTTCATCCTCAGGTATTTCTGTGGGTGTATTCTCAACAGGGAACATCACACATATGTACGTGTTTCCCACTCGCTGGAATGCCACACTTCCTTCCTTTCTGGTCTCCAGTTCCTTACCCCTCAGCTCTGGGGGTGGATGCTTTCAGTCAAGATTGGAGGGTTTTTTGGATTGCTCCTTGTGTCCTGTTGGTTGCTCTGTATTGGCCAGCTCAGATGTGGTTCTCTTTTTCTCAGTCCTGATCACTCCTCCAACTACTGTGTTCTAACATTTTCATCCCAACATCCTCACACTCCATTTTTCTGTTTGACTTTTGTCTGGTCCCATGCCCTAGCTCAGGGACTCTCCTCTCAGTAGCATCTTTCCTTGCCTTTACCAATTGCCCTTTCTCCTTTTCTGTACCAGAGGCATTGTTCTTGCTTCTGACTTTGGTCTATTTGTTATTTGATCAGGGTTTTCTTGTCTCAACTGTTGTTCTTTATAGTGCTGCCTTGTTGAACACCTTCTATTCTCCCACAATTGGAAAGCTTCTCTTCCCTGGTTATTTTCCTCCTTTTCTGTTACTTAAATCTGGTCTATTCACCACATTCCTTTGTTCTGCCAGATTGGGATTTCAGTGTTGTTCTTTAGGCCCTGTCTGGTTCTTCTTTTGAACCCATCGTAATTTGTATCTTGTACCATTTTTCTCATAAGTTCTAATTCTTCCCCCTCCTGGCATGTGGTATCATCATTTTGATATTTATGCCATCCTTTACCATTTCTTGTATGTTATCTACTATCGGGATTGGGCCTTCTTTTCCAGGTCATTGGCTGCCTGGGAAAGTTGTTTTGCCTTTTCTCCTATTTCTTTAACTTCCTTTTCCCACCTGTATTCCCAATTGGATCCAGATAAACTACTTTGTCCAATTCGTTCCCTGCTATGTTATTTGGCTCATACTGCCTCCTTTCATTGTTCTCATTCCTGTCTCATTGATCCATGGCATTACTCTGTTTCCCATGATCTATCACCTATTATGCTCACTGGTTGGGTTTGTCAACTCATACGACTGGTGTATTTTGACGTGTCCATGGCAGGTCACCATCTACATTGTTTATTCACACCAAATTCATCATCTAACTAAGTCCTTAGATGCTTTGAAACTGCTGTCTTTTGGAGGAGATTGTTCAGGCTGATATATGAACAACTCCCAATACATTTGTTGCTCTTTCTCTGCATGACATAGCCATATCTTCCTCCGGCAGGTATTGTCTTCCTCGTGGTGATTCTACACACATCTGTTTGCCTTTGACTGGGATAAGACGACATATTGTTATTGTTTATCTTATTTCATTAATATACATCAGATTTCAGGATCCCACCTAGTGGTGGCTGTGGCCTGGTCAGGTATGCAGAATTTTATATCTTAGCACTAAATCTGTATACTCTATAATGCTAATCGTGGAGATGGGTTATTTCTTTAGGACCACTGGCCGCTTTTCTGGTGGTGTGTATCTGTCTATTTCTTTATATATATATCTTTTAATGATGAGCAAATTCTGTTGTATCTACTAAGCTGTGAATCATAAACATTCTAACATAGCTTGTTTGGTGTGTTTATATTTTGTAATGGAAAGTTTATAACTTTAAAATTGAATTTGTGATTAATAATGGTGATACCTAAATCTAAAGAGTTTGCTTTGTTTGTCTTGGAAGAGCTACTTTCTAGAATGAAGTGTGGCAGATAAATCTGTTAGACTGTACCCGGAAAAACTTTATAATTTGGTAGAAGAATAACATCTATATATCTACAAGTGCAACTGATGCAAAAAATTTCACTGTAGTCTAAAACATTTGCAGCTGAAAGGGAACATGCTATAAAATTCTTTCATATTACAACTTTTGTGTGTGAAATCCTTTTATAATGTGCAGTCGTAGCTATAAAATATTACATCACTGTTTTATCGGGTTCTTTATCATACTATACATATATACTAGACATATAAGAGCTACTAATAATTCAAGTTTGTGTTTTACTTTGTAATTTTTTATTTTTACTGAATGTTTCAGTGAGGATGCGAAGAAAAAAATAGAACAAATTTTGGTAAGTAGATGTAACTTTTGTGTGGTTTACTTTTTAGCTTTTTGAAATTAACTAATGACAGATTTCAGCTTTTT